CTTTTTTCTTTTTTGACCAAAAACCAATGTGTTTTTAACACAACCCCATGGTGCAATTTTTTTTTTTTTTTTTTTTTTTTTTTTTTTTCGGATTTTTTGATTTTTCATCCCATGCCATGTGTGTGTCTCTCTCTGTGTTTTTTGTTTACAAGAAAAAACATTCACTTTTCTGGCTTATGAGGGAAAATCTAAAGTGGAACTATATATAACTTTTGGGGGGGGGCTATCTTTGTCATTTTCCTTGAATACTGTGCCTTTTCAAATTTTGACATTTATTTTTTCCGCTTATTCGTCGTATTGGTTGATGGGTAGTTATTTGCTGGTCACCGTGCTGTTGTTGTTTGTTTGCCTTTATATCTTCTACACATCTCTTATTTGATCTGCTTTTTTTGCTCTTCCATTTGTTTGAAGTAATGTTTTAACGCATGTAGATATTGTTGAAATATAACATTCTTGATACAACCGACCTTGAACTTCTAAATCTATCTATTATATTGAAGAATCTAAATACTGGTTAAGATGTAGAAATTTATGTTTTACAAGAAGCTGCTGTTGCGCTTGTTGCGCTTATATAAGACAGCGCTTGGCTAACCAGCTACGTCATTGCAGCCGGCTTTGAACCTCCACATTCTCTTCCTCGTCCCGCTTGTATATGTAAATTGTCTGGTTGCGACGGAAAAACATCGGCCTGGTCGCTTTTTATCCTCTTGGGGGATAGCACACTCCTGTCGTAGGGAGGTTGTGTATCCTTGCTCCCTTTTCCCCGCTCGCCCTCCTGCTCTTCACGCTGGGCTCGCGCCTCTCTTGACTCGCGCATTCAAAGAAAAGCTGCCCTGCCTTTCATCCGGCGACGTCCGCTAGTTAAGACCTACGTTTTCTCTCGGAGATAGAAACAACTACAGCTTTGCCATCCATCGGTATCGGTCTTCCTTCAGACTTAAGAGATTCTTAATCATCCCTATACCTGAACCTGAACCGGTGGGTCTTTGGCTCCTCCGTCTACCCCTCCTCTTTTCAGCTACAATTTAAGAAAGGACAGGATACTATTATCCCTTGCTATGTCTGCAACAAAGGCAACCAGAGCATTCTTTCTCGAGAATCATTGCTAATACCCCTTCGCATAGGTACGATCATGCGAGATCAATCTCATACCAACCTGCCAAGCATTGATGGGATGCAGAAGCAACCAAAAGGTGAGGAGGCCCTATTACAGATAAAGTAGCACCTTGTGTCCTCGCCAATTCCCCTTCGCTATAGTAAGGGTACAAGAGATATTGACTTGCCATAATCCAAGGCATCCTTAAAAACAGGCCATGTTCCCAAGGCACCCCGCCTCAGACATCCCCAACTATCTCGGGCAGTACTATAAGCCCCCAGTCTCCCATCGACACCAAAGAGCTCACGCTTCAAAACACATTACAAAATGCGGGCCGCCCCACCACCAACCCCCGATCTTCAATATCCCGCCGCCAATCGTCCGCCTCACGCCCTAACGGCGGAATCCACACGGATGGTGGTGATGGTGAAAACTCCCCCCGTCTAAAATGGGACGAGGTAAACCTCTACCTTACCGAACAAGAGCGAACTTCAACCATGAAGATCGACGAGCCAAAGACGCCTTATGCCCCCCACTATAACCCAGATGACGATGAGGATGATACCGACATGGAAATGGGTATCGACACCGACGACCTAGCCGTCGATGAGCTGGATATGTATAGAGCGCGCAAGCACAGCGTCCACGACGATGACATCCCCGGCTTAGAGCTGGGGGAGCTGGAGGAGTCTGGGTGGGTGGAAGGGGCCCCGAGTGGGTCGGGTAGAATTACACGAGATAATCGTCGCATGAGTGATGGGAGTTCAGGACGGCCGGGGAAGCATGTTGTTGTAGGGGAGGATGGGAGCGCGGACGACCGTGCTGCAGATCATCAAAGTCCGGAAGCCGGCGAGAAGCATCGTGATTTCGAGGAGAAGCGGAGGAAGCACTATGAGATGAGTATGGTAAAGGGGTTACTTGGGTACGTTTTGACATTTAACTTCCCCTTTCGGGCGCGAACATTTATTGAGCTGGAGGGTGGATCGAGCATGTTTGACTTTTTAGTTTTTACTGACTATATCCCAGACATCCCGAAGACATCGACGCCCTTGCAGGAGATGACGACGATGATGAAAGCAATGAACACCCCCCGCCCATGCCAAAGATTCCGAATGATTTCACAAGCACTCAGTCCCAGCGGTGAAATTGCGCCTTTTTTTTTTTTTTTTTTTGCTCCTGCTTCTTTATATTTTCCGGCAATAAACCCTCATTCTTGTACTCGTTTCTCCCGCTCTAATCGCCGACGTCATCTTTACCGAATCGTTGTACCCAAACCGACTCTACATCCTGCGGTACATATCTCTTCAACTGGATGTTATTATTTTAAACCAAATATGCCGCGTTGATTTTGATAACAACAATCTGATAATAATTTCAATTATTACTTACTCCCTGAGACTTCGTTCTATCTTCTTCTTCTTCTTTTTTTTTTCCCCTTCCTTTCCTCTCCTTTTTCTTGCCCCGCGTTTGCCCTCTAGTCTACTACCCGGTTGCTCCATTGATAAGCCAGCCAGAATGTAACGACATCTTTCTGCCTACAACCCCTTCCCAGGCCTTATTTCTAACCCCTTTTCACATTCTTATTCCCAATTTTGCCCATTTCACACAAAGCAATATAAGGGAGCTGGACAAAACCATGAGAGATGAAATCTTGAAGATTTTCTTTTTCTTTTTTTTTTTTTTTTTTCGGTGGTTTGAATTTGAATGGAAAAAGGAAAAAAAACGACCCCCCTCGCTCTTCCTTTGTGCGTGTTCATCTTTCTCTTTCTCTTCCCCTCCCCCCCCCCCCCCCCCCCTTTTTTTTTCTCTCTTTTTCTCTTCTTTTCCGCTTTCATACCTCCCCTCAACATTTATCTGCCCTGTGCATATGATGTGTACCTTTCTCGCCCATAGCTATATAGCTCGAGATAATATATACGCAGTAGCTTTTTTTGACCAAACAATGTATATATATCTGTATCTATATCGGTATCTATTCCCCTCCTAAGTTTGGTATGATATGGTATACCGGCCCATCCCCGCCCTTTCCCCACTCCTTTGATCCCGATTTCTCTACGCTAGAGTAAAAAATGCCATCATGGCAAAACCGGCTTGCGCCTGTGTTACTCTCATCGTTCTGGTGATGGCGATGGTGTCTCCCATATTCTGGGCTTGGGGAATTAAAGAAGAAGAAGAAGAAGAAGGAGAAGAAGAAGAATGTACAGGTAACAATAGAAGACAAGACGTAACTAAGGGGCTCTGGCTTGGCTTTGCTTTGGGTATTCGAAATGTAGACCGCCGCGCCCTAACGCCTATCCAGATCCATCGACAAGGGTCTATAGGCATCTGCTCGTACATGTACAGTACATATGTTATATGCCTTAGCCTTAGCAAGGATACATTAAATACCATATGCTATTGGAATGGCGCGCAAGTACAGCGTAAGTAAGCCCATTATCCAAAACCCTTCCAACTCTTCTGTCAAATATCCGTCTACTCCTCGTAATCCACATTCATTTCTTCTTGATTAAGTAAATAGATCCGGTCCCATCGAGGAAAAAAAAAAAAAAAAGGCAAAAACAAAAACAAAACGAAAAAAAAAAAAAAAATAAAAAATAAAAAATCTTTCTCCACTCCTTGGCCCTCCAAGACATTATATCACATTACATCTCCATCCGCCGCATAAATTTAATGGACCCATCGGATTCATACCGCACCAGGTCCCCCGTTCTGTACATCCGAACCTTCCTCCCAGGCGGCGCTATATTCGGAAATTTCGAAAGCCATTCAGGATCAACGAGAAATGGCTGCGTCATCATATTTTCATTTCCTCCATTGTCTCCTCCCTCTTCTGCTGCTTCTGATACGTAGTAGCCGTGGGCTAGGATCGTGCCCTCAATCAGCAGCTCGCCAATCCCGCCAATTGGGACAAGATTGTGATGAACATTGCTCGGCTCGGCGATCCATGTTCTGCAACCTATCGGGCGGCCGATGTTGAGCCGGCCGTGGTATTTTAATCGTTCCTGGTGGCGCTCGTCTGTCGCTGTGCAGCAGATGGTGCATTCCGTGTTGCCGTAGAGATGGACTAAACTGACGTGGTCCTGCCACCTCAGCAAATCGCTAATCGCGAGGCCGTCGCTGATGACGGATATAACTTCCAGGCTACGGGCGGTATCTGGAGTCAGTTCACGTAAGAGGGATGGGGTAAGGAGGACGTGTGTGGCTCGGGTAGCGGAGATCGCGCGTGGTAGATCTGTGTCCCTATCATGTTCTGTGGCATAACATACGCATCCGCCTTTGACGATTGTGCCGAAAATGTCAAAGATACTTACATTGGATGTGAGCGATGAACATTGAAAAATCCGCGATTTGTCATTAATTTCCAGGGTGTCTGCAAGGTGGAGAATGTTGGTACATATGGCCTCATGGCCTAGGATTACAGGCTTTGGCGTGGAAGTGATGCCAGATGTAAACATGACAAAGGCCGGATCTTGAGGGGACACTTGTGGCTCGTAAATGTCAGGCGTTGGGCCGAGCAGGTCCACGAAATTCTGTACATCTGTAAGTATATACTTGACTTTGCCAAAGAGCTGCTCCACTTGGGACTGGTCAGCAAAAACGAGGTTTGCCTCTATAACCCGAATATAAGGCGTTGGGTCCAGCAAGTCGATCGGAACACAGACAGCGCCGGTGCGAAGAATAGCCAGCATGGCAATAATGGCCCATTTGGATAGGCCCATGCTGAAAAGTACCATTATCCCTTGTTTGACTCCAAGATCGTGGAAGTAGTAGGATAATCGTGAAGATCGATCCCACAGCTCGCGGAATGTCATGGGTCCATCCCAACCATCAGCAGCAAGGCTCTCTGGCTGACACGAGACCTGTATCTGTATCAGGTCGTGAATGCATCCTTTTACGGTTTGATTCCACGGATCAATTTTATTCCAACGCTCGATTCTGGATCTGTCATAACTACAGAGCATGTCCAAGCCTGGAACGGTTTGTCGTGGGTTGGCCAAGACACTTGCAACAGTCTTTCTGAATGTTTCGCATAAGCTTTGGGCGGCTGTCCCCGTCATCGACGAAGCCCGGCACCTACAAACGAATTGAGCTGGGGAGATGCATAGCTGGATATCGATCATCCCAGGGCACTAGAAGCCATTTGACCGGTTAGCAAAAAAAAAAATCCGATAGCTATATGAAACAAAATCCATGTTACCGGATATATGTCGTTTCCGCCTGTGTAATCTGAGATATCTCCTTCCAGCAGATGTATTTCTGTATTGAAACACAAAGATGATCCCCCCAACCCTTCCGCAGGGTATCCCCGTCGCGGCTCTGATTCTAGCTGTTCCAAAATTTCAAGAAGAGTATCTGTTGAAGAAAGATGGACATGACACCATGACTGGGTTTTTGAGTGTTCTTGCCCCTGAGCCTCGCCTCCTGGAGCAGAGGGCATCCCACGACGGGCATGGCTGGTGTCTACCACACCAAAATAGACATGGTCAGTGTTGGCAAACTGCTTTAGTATCAAGGCCCATACGGTCTTATAGAATGCAAGAAGAGATAGAGAGTTCTCGGCGCAAAACGACAGAGTTTTCGAATGCTCGGTATTTCGTACATCAGCGCCTGCTTTGAAGAAACCGTGGCCGATCCTGGGTGGTACGTGGTGTTCGATGACTGGAAAAAGGCACCGAGGGTGAGGTGAAAGAACCATCACAAACGAGAGGCACGTTAGTTAGTCAGGAGATAGATAGCCAGAGACAAGATGTCTTTTTGCTCTTTTGCCTTCCTTCAATAGAAAGCCAGATGCGTATGGGCGTGATGATGATTATGGCGATGATGCGAATGACAATGCATACAGGGTGGTTTGGCTGAGATTAATAAGGAGGAGTTCGCTGCGGAGGCCAGAAGGAGAAAGAGAGAAAGAGCCGCACACTGCAAGAGAGCATGCACCGCGCCAAACAGGGAGAAAGATAGCAGCAACCTTGGAAGCAGACTGGCAAGCAAGGAGTCAAAAAATGTGGAACTGATGCTAGTGGAACGTCAGAACCACGCGTGGAGCCAATATCAAAACAATTCAAATTCACTCATTGGCCAGACAGGAGTTGGAAAGAAATGAGACACCTGGGAATGCCGTGAAATACAAGAACTGGGACATATTCTCCTGTGTTATTTGAAGCAGTTCTGGTGCATACCAGCACTAGCACTCGCTAGTATCTAAAGGTGTAAATGGTATCATCTCCTGGCCAGAAGCTTCCAGTGATAATTGGACAGGAGACAGCAGTTTCCTCGCCAAATCTGTTCTCTCCATGGATGCATAGACTTGGAGCGTAGAAGAGCAAATAATACTTACTGTACTCCGTATATTGGCACTTGTTTCTAGAAGTACAAGCGAACCTTGGAAGCGTCGGCGGCTGTTTCTGGTAAGCGCGCGGGTAGTTCCCGGTTCGGCAGTTTGTTTACGCTAGTGCGCATTGGGATAGGGGCATTGTTTCGGGGAAGGCCCCCCTGCCGAACTAGCCAGGCGCCGGGGGCTCTTTGGGCAGCAGCCAAAACTGCCAAAAGGCTGAGACTCACCATTCCCGCCGTCTTGTTTCATTTCCACCTTCACAAGCTCAAACTCAACCCGGCCCAGCCCAGCTCCTGGCGGCTCGGTGGTCGATTCTCATCCCTTTCCTCTTGGCAATTCCCACCTCTTCCCACCCCTTTTCCAGCTCCCTCTGCTCTGTCTCTCTGCCGTCTGCTCTCTGCTGTCTCTTCTCTGCTCTCTCCGTTATCGCAGGCTGCGATTGAGTCTTTTCACAAGTGCGTAGCTTTTCTCTAGTAGGTAGGCTCCCTAGAAATCCTACCGTCTTCGCTGATTGCTGTGTGTGTCTTCGCCGTTGTGACGCGTTGAATTAACTTTTCCTCGCCAGGACCTCGTAATACTCACCAGTACGAGTATATATAGCTTAGTTGCATTCCCTCTGGCAACAATGTCGGAAACTGAGAAACCTGTTCAGGCCGCAGCAGCAGCAGCCGTTGCTGCTGCAGGCACTGCTGATGTCCCCGCCGTTGAGAAGGACCCCGAGACTACCCAGGACAAACAACAGTCGGCGACCGACAACAGCACCACCAAGGCTCCTCAGGATGAAAAGAATAAACAAACGGAAAATCCCAGTACCGACGCGCCACCAGCTGCTGCCACAGCTCCAACTGCGGACCCAATTACCTCCGCCCAGCCGCCCGATGTGGATGCGATTGAAGCACAGAAAGACGGCCAAAAGAAGAACGGGCCCGGATCCGAGAACAAACCTGACGAAACCCCTGTTGATACGCGGCCCGAGTACTTGTCCAAGAACCCTGCCCTCAGCGAATTCTTCGAAAAGCTTGCCTCTATCCTCAAGAAGGCTGACCACAACGAGATGTGGGGCGTCACCCTCAAGGATTCCGATGATGTGCCAACCGTCAATGTGTTGATCAAGTTCCTCCGTGCCAATGAGGGTAACGTCAAACTCGCAGAAGAGCAGCTCAGAAAGGCTCTGGAATGGCGCAAGAAAATGAACCCCTTAGCCCTGGCTGAAAAGGCTACTTACAGCTCAAGCAAGTTTCAGGGACTCGGCTATGTTGCAAATTACAAAGACCAGAATCAAGGAAAGGTCGTTTTCACCTGGAACATTTACGGATCTGTCAAAGATGCCAATCGTACCTTTGGCGATGTTGATGAGTAGGTTCTTATCAGCTCCGTCCCTGCACTGACCAGAGTCACTGACTGGCCCCGCTTCCTTTTTTTTTTTTTTTTTTTTTTTTTTCTATTTAGATTTATCAAGTGGAGAGTTGCATTGATGGAGATGGCTGTTAAAGACTTGAAGCTTAGCGAAGCCACATCCGTGATCGATTACTCTGGCGAGGACCCTTACCAGATGATCCAGGTCCATGACTACCAGAACGTCAGCTTCCTTCGTTTGAACCCTACGATTAAGAGTGCCACCAAACAAACCATCGACGTCTTCAGCACCGCGTATCCAGAGCTCCTGAAGGAAAAATTCTTTGTCAATGTTCCTGCTCTCATGGGTTGGGTCTTCACCGCGTTGAAGGTGTTCCTCAGCAAGAACACCATCCGGAAGTTCCACCCTATCACCAATGGCGTGAATCTTGCTCGTGAATTTTCGTTTGCTGACGAGCTTCCCAAGTCGTACGGTGGCAAGGCGGATGAGCTGGCAGAAAGTGCTCGAACTGTCGCCTTGAGGCAGGATACCCCTGAACCTCCTCCGGAATCCGCTCCTCCAGCCCAGGCCAGCCCCCCTACTACCGAAACTAATGGCTCTGCGAAGGAGGTAGCTAAGACTGCCGCTGAAGATGCCAAGAAAGCGGAAGCTCCAGTCGCAGCCGATGCCCCTGCAACAATTTCTGAACCTGAGAAGCCTGCAGCCTCTTCAGCTAATGAAACTCCTTCTGAAGTGGCCAAATGATCTTAGCGATCTCCCTCACCTTGTTCATCCCCCTTGTGACGTTGAATTTTTTTTTCTCTCGTAATTTTACTTTGTTTCATTACTTGGTCGTAACGTGTGTGAGTTCTACTATGGCTTTCAGCTCGCCGTTTGTTTTGTTGCGCTAACCTACTCAAGCTCACCCACAGGCTATAATAATACGTAGCTTCTGGTTTTGTTGGGTTTGACGAGCTGTTTTTCAACTGCTGAAAAAGACCTTGTATCGATGTTTTCGGAGAGCTAGTTCCTTTTTACTGTTCGACCAAAAAAAAAAAGAAGTTGGCCTGAGGTTGTTTTACTTTTCCTTTTTTTCAAGTAACTTGATAGCGTATGGCCTGTTTCTTGATAAACCGAGGTGCTTGCTGTTGTCCACTCCGTGATTGTTCTGAATCTGAGTAGGACGAGAGAGGGCTCTGCGGGCTTTTCTTTGTTTGCTTTCCGTTTTTTATCTTGAAGGTGCCCTCTCACCTGTTTCCTTACTACTGCCCTCCATGATACCATTCAAAATAACTTTTCCTTGTCCTCTTTAGTCTACTTGATCAAACTTGTATTTTTCAGGGTTTTTATTTCAGCTCAAAAGTTAATTCAGTTTCTATGCTGCTCTGATACAACTCATTTATTATGCTATATTTTACTGTTAGTGAAGGGCTGTAAATACATAATGGGGCATTGCGGATGAAGCTTGTAAGGTTAATCCGGCGGGTGATTTGCGCCACAAGCGCAGTCTAAGCTTAGGTTACCAGCAACGATAGGACCATAAATATCTTCTTCGTCTCTTCTCACCACGCGTGCTCGAAGCTTGCATACAGCCTATTCACATGGCATAGGCCGGCGCTGAACTGCTCAGCGGGTGGATAAACCCTAGTTCACAGGACGGAATAACTCAATTCACTCGCTGGTGAAGAGCTACCATCATGTGCAACCGCTAAGCTACGCTTCTCTCACGTCCATCCGGCACTTGTCCTCCGTCGCATCCTCGACTCAGTTACCGATTCCAGAAGGGGGTATAAACTATCCTAAGATACGCAAGTGGATACAGCGATTTTCGTACTCCGGTCGGGTCGCGACAGGGAATCCAAATAAATTTCCCACTCCTCGAAACCAACCACCAGGCCCCCCGACGGCCCAGACAAATTCGCCCATTTAGCTACCCCCATACACATCGTAACAGAACACCCGTCCAAAAGAAGACGAATACGAATACACGCCACATATATATAATATAGAATGTCCGTCTGGAATCCAGAAAACATCCGCGACGTCGCCGAATCAGTCGGCATCGGCGCCCTCAGCGACGAGGTGGTCGACAACCTCGCGCGCGATGTTGAATACCGCATTTCGCAGGTCCTCGAGGAGGCGCTGAAATTCATGCGCCATGCCAAACGCACGTTGCTGACGACGCAGGATGTTTCGCACGCGCTGCGCGTGTTGGATGTGGAGCCGCTGTATGGCTACGAGTCGACGAGGCCGTTGCGGTTCGGCGAGGCGACGTTGGGCCCTGGACAGCCGCTTTTCTATGTGGAGGATGACGAGGTTGATTTTGAGAAGTTGATTAATGCGCCGTTGCCGAGGGTGCCGAGGGAGATTACGTTTACGGGTGTGTATATATCTATGTTTTTTTTTTTTTTTTTTTTTTTTTTTTTTTTTTTTAAACAAAAATGAAAGGGGATCGGTATTGACATTTTGCTATTTGATACGCTTGCTTCTAGCGCACTGGCTGGCCGTCGAGGGAGTGCAGCCTACAATACCACAGAACCCCACGGGGGCAGATTCGCGGAATCTCGAATTGGTGTCCAAGGGTCCTAATGCCAATGCCAATCTTGCAGCGATGAGCGGGCACGACAACGTCACTGTCAAGCCGTTGGTGAAGCACATCCTCTCCAAAGAGCTGCAACTCTACTTCGAGAAAGTGTGTACCGCGTTCCTAGACGAGTTAAACGATGAGTACCGGCTCTCTGCATTCTCGAGTTTGAAAGACGACCCGGGCCTGCATCAGCTCGTGCCGTATTTCGTCCAGTTCATCTCCGAGAAAGTCACGCATAGCCTCAAGGACCTATTCGTGCTGACGCAGGTCATGCATATGACCGAGGCGCTGATCCAGAATAAAACGCTCTACGTGGATCCTTACGTAAGTTCCAAATCATAGTTAACGATCCAACGCCGGGCGAGCAATTTCCAACACAATACTTATTTGTGTATGTATTTATATACATATATCTAGGTCCCTTCCCTCATCCCCCCAGTCCTCACCTGCCTCCTCGGCCGCCAACTGGGTACCAGCACCGGCGCGGCCGATCACCTCGAACATTTCGCCCTCCGCGACCTCGCAGCCTCCCTCATCAGCATGATAGCGCGCAAGTACTCGCACTCCTCGCACACCCTCCGCCCCCGCCTCGCGCGCACATTTCTGAGAGATTTCCTGGACCCAGGCAAACCGCTGGGCACACACTACGGAGCCATCATCGGCCTGCAGTCCATCGGCGGCGTTGATGTGGTGCGTGAACTCATCGTGCCGAATCTGAAGACGTATGAGATTGTGTTGAAGGATGCGACTGCTACGACGACAGGGGCTGGCGCGGGTGCGGGCGCCGGCGCCGGGTCAGGGGTGGAGGAAACGGTGAGGAGGTTGGAAGCCGAGAAGGTTATTGGGGTTATATTGGCGGTGTTGGGGACGTTGGGCGATGGTGAACTGCAGGCAGGGATGGAGATGGTGACAAACGGAGTTTCGGAGAAGGGCGAGGAGGAAGAGGTGAGGGAGAGGCTAGTTGAGAAGGTTGGGGAGGTTATTGCTGGAAGGATACTGGAGAGTGGGCAAGTGGGATTGGCGAATGTGATAATTGGGAGTCGGTGAGATGGATGGGCATTTCTGGTTGTTGTCATTCTCCCCTATCCTCCCCCTTGCACTTTATGTATTGTTCCTGGGCAATCTCGAGAGGGAAACTTCTTATTCCCCTGCTTATTGTATTTTTCTTTTGTTTTGGGACGGCCCGCGAGGCTGACGGCGTTTTTCCATGGTGTATCGGGGACTGGAGTCTTTCTATTGATTTTCCATTTCTCTCTTTTGTTCCCTCCAAAAAAATGTTTTTATTTCTAGTTAGTTTGTCCTATCTTCTTATTTCTTGTGTTTGTACAGTACATTGTATATATATCGGATTAGGGGATACTAGTCCCAGTATGCCGATTGGTTAAATCTTGATCAAAACTCGTCTTAATCTTATTCATTTCAGTCCTTAACCATAAATTCTACTGTTACTGAGTGTAGAATATCTATTAGATGTCAGTTCAACTTGATATTTAGTGATTTTGAGGTAATATTCCCTCTTCTTATCCTTATTTTCCTTTCTTCATCCGGACGAAGGTGTACAGCAAGGTAATAAACAACAGGAATGATTAGAACCACAGATACAGGTTCTTGACCCCTGCCGTGCTGCTTGCCTACCATTCAGGGTAGGATCTAACAATCCGTTCTTCTTATATTCAGCTCGGAATTGGCTGATCATATTTGCTAGGCTGAGGTTATCCTTCCCTTTACTTGCTATCTCATGCTTTCTAAACCGCAACGTACGAAGGATTGATTGTTCTATTGGTTTGAAAGAAATCTACCCATCTATCCCTGCTTGCTTATATATCTTTCATCAATCAATACCCAGTTATCTAATCACTTCTCTAGGTTCTGTCTGGGGCTGCTTGCGAAGGTCGTCGTACTTCAATCGGAACTTCATATTAGTTCTCTGCCATTCTAGGGGATAATCGCGTCTCAAGAGCGCTCAACAGGCCCTTAACGTTAAAGCATCGGCTTCCTTTCGTAGCTATCTGGATCTCACTAGCAGATACCGTTCGAAGGATTTCACCCAATCAGTATCTTGCTAACGGCCATCAACCTTCCGTTGATATTGGGTTTATCTCGTTATTATATCGTACTTGCTGCATCTCCCAGCCCAATCTTTCGCTCCTGAGGTGCGCTCGTTAGGGACATCCGGGGGAGAAGGCATCGACAAGTGCTCAATTCGATCGGGTTTTTTCATCATCGATAAACTCCAGTACATTGAGTGGTAACGCAAAGAGAGGATAGTATCGATCAATACCAAAGGTCCCCACCAGTTCTTGGAAGGTTCCAAGATAATCGTTGATTTGGATGGGCCAATCTCGGTTGCCATCCTGATTGAATGATGTCGATAAAATCGTAGAACCAGTTGATGACAATGTGAATATTTCCATTTATAGTTAAGGAATGAAATGAATAAGCTTTAGATATTGTCATAATTAAGGTTAATGACGAGATTCGATCAAGATTTGATCAAACGGCATACTGAGACTAGGTGATGGATATCCCTAAAGAGAGGTCCGATAGTATATTACTTTCCTACCATCCATCTATTGCTTTGCTGTGCCTTTTTTCTTTCTTTTTTCTTCCTGAATGCACGATTGTGCATGTATGTATCTATCAATATTTCTTACGTCGGGACACTATGGGTCTAGACATGACAGGCTTTTTAACATCGCCAATCGAAGATAATTCGTAAATAAATATGACCCAGGCAATCTCGACCGCTGCAAAACGCAGCAAGAGTTGAAAGCACTGGATATAACGAAAATATATTGGGACGTACGCGCCTGTGGTTTTTCTTCTCTTTTCTTGTTTTCTCCTCCTCCTCCTCCTTCTTCCCTACTGCCACATGGGGGATAACTGACACGAGGGAAAGAAACCTCTCTCATCACCCATGCGCATCAATCTCAGGGCAAAACAGGATCCTGCAGGAGGCAGGTTGGCTGGCTGCGTTGCCCAATGGAAAAGAAAAAAGCATTGATTGGCCAGTTTCGGCAAATGTAAGTCAATCCCTTTGAAATTTTAGGCAATCCAATTTTTGAGCAGAGAAGAGGTTGTAGCAATACATTGCTAGTAGTGTTGTTTGGATGGAATTGCAAGTTACACCACCTCACAGGGGACGGAGCAGAGGAGGGTAATCTCAAATAAATAGATCATACTAGTATATCATTTCTTGCCCTGGAGAACCAAAAATTGTCTCCAGCCAATAGCGTGGGGTAATCTTTGCGGAACAACAATGATCCGAACCACAACCCTTCTATCATATACAGATTATCATATACAGATCCGTACACAGATGGAAGATACTAGGAGTAGTTAATCGTACCTTTGCTGTGTATAGTTATACGTGGAATTTGATTGCCCCTTCATTCCCAGACACCAATTAACTATAGGGCCTCCAAGCTTCCGGATCTCGCATCTGGCCCCGAGCTGGCGCGGACGAACCCTAGGCCTCCCGCAAGTCTCTGCAGCCCAACACTCCAGGGCTGGTCAAGCGGGAGGCTTGCCCAAAGCGGCTTGGTGTGACGCGGTGACTTGGAAATCGGACAAACGCAACCTTCGCCGTTGCGTTGTGCTTCCGTCCACATTTCTTCCTCTTTTTCACCCAACTTCTCTTTGATTCTGACCATCTCCCAGCCAGTTCCCATTGAACTTGCTGCTGTCGCTCTGTATTCCCAAGGTGTGTAGCCATCTCAATTGTTGAAATATCTCTCTCAACTCATCCTAAACTTTTCTTACACACACGCACACACCCACCCACCTACAAAAACACACACCCACACGCCACACACACCGTCTCTCTCCTACAGCATACCCTATCCAAAACACATCTGCCATTACTTCTATCTTGGCTTATTTCCCTTGCTTTTCACAGTTCTGTTTGTCTTCATTTGACACACTTCTCACAGCTCTTGCAGTGTTTGTTCAAATAGCGTGATTTACGTTCAGCACCCCTCGTCGGTGTGAAAGAGGACGAATCCATCTACCCAGCGAGGGATAAAGCCACCAATATAGCATCTGTTCGACGATCTGAGCGTGCAGATGAGCTGCCACGTTTGACTCATTGAAGAGAAACGCCACAATTCTCTCCATGAGCCGTAAGGATCTCCTGCGATTTCTCTCGAAGCCCGCAAAGTAGGTTATATCTATATTCGCCCCTCTCTTTATTCCCTTTGCCCACCTTGGCCAATGTTACACAATATTCCTTCCATTTTGTCTGGGAATTGGGAATGAATCGTGGTTCCAATTCAACTGCTCAACTGACCTTCCAATTCATTCTTTACTCTCATTTTGCTCCTCTGCTCTTCGATCAAACAGATCAACTGACATCGTGAATAAAAAAAGACCTCGATAACGAGCCATTCACAAATCGATACCGGAAATAGCAAACCCAACATAATCCCTTAACTTGTCATTTTCTATAAAGGCAGATCTCCTCGTCTGCTGGACCCGATACTTTTGCAGGTATCGGTATCTTGCCAGTGCGGGGGTTCATATTTCGGATCAGCCACAATTCCCCATCCTAGAGCTTTCTTCATCCCTCTCTCCGCCAGACCCCCATAACGCCTCTCTTGGGGCAGGGACTGTTACATATATCGATCTTTACCACCTTGCTGGCGTAGGTTGCTAGCTCTCGTCAGCCATCGCCAAACCGGGCCTTCCTCTATCTCAGGCGGACACCGCATTGTTCGTCTGGGTGGAAGATTGTGCTTCAGTAAATAAAAGAAGTTTTCGCTCGTGTCCAGGGTCTTCTACAAAACGGAACAAAGAACCTTCATTTCATATCCTTTTACTTACCTTGTTCTCTTTGTTGGGTTTGGAACTAAAAATCCCTTTGACGGTTACGGATATGGTGAACATTGAGATGCCGAAGAATTATACGGCGTCACCATCCTCATTCATGGGGACGTCGTCGTTGACAATTAATCATGAGGCTACCTTGGATCTCGATTCGAGCAATGCCTTTGAAGGTGCGTTACATCAGCTTGTTTAGGCTTCCTAATACATAACCTTCCTGACGCGCCTCATTTACTGATCTTCATATATCGTCACAGGGCCCGAAAAGCTTTTGGAGGTGTGGTTTGGTCCGTCTCCTCGGGACTTTCTCGGATCAACGGAGCCAACAGGCCTCAAAGTCGTTCCGGTAGAGATATGGAAGGATATGCTTGACCTTGTCAGCTGCAAGGTCTTGTCAATCATCGAATCCGACGATGTCGACGCTTACCTGCTCTCCGAATCCAGCATGTTTGTATTCCCCCACAAGCTCATTCTCAAAACCTGTGGAACCACTACCCTACTGTCTGGATTGCCGCGCATCCTCGAGATTGCGGCCTTGTACGCTGGTTTCCCCAAAAACACCGCCCCTGCTTCGCTTGGGATCAAGACTGCGGCTGCTCCATACCGCGTCTTCTATAGTAGAAAAAACTTTTTGTTCCCCGATCGCCAGCGCGGTCCCCATCGTAGCTGGCGCGATGAGGGTAAAGGCGATGGACCAGCTATTCCTTGGAGGCAGCGCATACATGATTGGCAAAATGAATGGAGAACATTGGTACCTCTACCTGACGGAGCCGTATACTGTGTTGACCCCACCTTCTACGCCAAGCAATGACACCGCTGTGAAGGTCCTTAACTTCCCCGAGCATCTCAAGGCAATTGCCACCTCTGCTGGCGAATTCACTTCAGGA